CTAAAGTTATCTAGAACGAAATTTGCTGAACCTATTCGTTGACTACTTATGAACGTTAAAAACTCTTCCATAAACTTCTTTGATATTCTTTGTGACTATATAGGCGTTGTTTCCTTCTTGTATTCAATTAGCATAACATGCCAAATGTGTGTCTCGTCGTGTGTCATCACTTTTAGGGATTAGAGTATACTAAACTTTACACATTACATAGGCTACACTAAAATGACATTTAGATGGTTCGTTTAACTATTATACGTGATGTACGTTTTTTGGGGGTGGTTAATGAAAGTGTTCCAAAACGCGACATTAATTTCTTGACGACCTAATATCTGTATGGGTTTAGTCAATTTGACCAACCTTGTAACCACCATAAAAAATTAGGAGATAGAAATAAATTATGCTTTTTTTCATTCTACAATGACCATAGATTATAACACTTAACCAGAAATGTTTAGTCAAAATAGCTTAAATCTCATAACATTATACATCTACATTTATTTCTTATTTTATTGAGGTTCCAGTCATGTCTGGCTATCATTATAGAAATTGCAATGACTTTGATAATGTGCACTCGTGATACTGTATCCCAGAATACAAAACTGGCCTTTACAAAGTGACCTGTCATGACTTTGTTCTAGTGGACCAATATTTTGTAAAATGCAGTCACATTTTGGTTATAATACATTACATATGTGTATATATACATTGTTACTATTTACAAATAAGTTCTTAAACTTATTTTTCTTAAAACATAGAACAGTAAATAAAGAAGTATAGAAAACATTTATCTCTTCTAGTTACAGACTTTGTACCCCCCTGCAGTAATTTGCTAAGCCTTGTCAAATTTTGTGCATGGAGGATGTAAAACAAAATAATTTTTTAAGTTTTATATATGCATTTTGAAATAACAAAAAATCATAAATTATTATATCAGTACTATAGAATTCCACTATAATTTATCAAGCTTAGTAACTAAGCTGTATTTGGGTCTAAAAAAATATGATATTTCGAGCTCCATTAACTCTTACCTTTCTGTTTTGATTCTACCATGAAATGGAAGGTTTTCCCACAGAAATACTTTGCATAGGCTGAGAAAATCATGTGGGGGATATTCTGAGCTTACGATTGGTTATACACATGTCATAGAGTAAAGTAGGTTTACGTAAGCAGGTATGTTCAAAAATGGAAGAGGTGGGTGGGTCCACCCTGGTTGATTCACTAAATATAATAATATCTCAGCAAATAGGAAAAATGGGAGGTTCTTATTTTATATGTTATCTCTTAACTATCAGTTATTTGCATTTCTAATTTGTAAGGAAAAATTAGACATCACAAACATTTAATTTGAACCAAAGCTGCATTCAACACACCACATGACACACAAAAATCAATATTTTTTTATATTTACTTTTAAATTAAGAAATTAACTAACGTATAATACTAAAAATTTGAATTATAATTTACAATTTAATACCAAACTTATTGACATAAATACATGAAATAGTAGTTCAATAAAATTTTGAATGTAATTCTACAAATGTGATGACATGTCCTCTGACCCCTGACCATAGGAAGACCCATCAGATAGAGTTAAGAGATTTCCATGCCACTACCTTTGAGGCAATTCCCACTGACCTTTATGTGTTTTATTGTGAAGTGTGGTGGTGTATGATGGTGTAATCAGAAGACAAAATTCCACCAATAGCAGGGCGACACAGCCTCCATACGCAGTAACTCTCCCTGTGCACGTGCTATCGTGATAACTTCATTCTTTTCTTGGCATTGTATTGAACAGACATGTTTAATTTCTTGTCTGAGTCCAATTTGTTGAGACTTGCATTTTTAACAAAAGTTTATTTTTGTTTTCTTTGGCTTTTGTTTCAAAACATTTAATCTTTTATCATGCCTTCTCAAATGACTGTGACTTATACTTAGTCCTGTGTGAGTGACATTGTCCACACACACAGATCTTATTTCTAATATGGCGTCTGGAGACTCATTAATTGTTGGGGATGTTGCAGCCATTGTTCAACATCTTGTGGGTGACCACATGCTTACTGGCCTCCTACTCCTGTCCTATCTGCTGATATTCTTTCTCCTTAATCAGGAATTATCTCTTGGACTATCACTTTCACCGATTTGCTTTGGGTAGAGTCTTACCACTCAAGAAGTGACCTTAACCTTCCACTCTTTTCCTAAATTTCATTCACAGGTATATTCTTCTCCTCATTTTTTGCCTGTGTCCTTTCTTATTTCTTGTTTTTATTCCATAATTCACAATTCTAGGAGTATATCTTGTCTTTCCTCTGTGCTTGTTATTTGTGTTAATACATTTTCCTTTCTCACACCTGAATGCCTTCTCCCCTTCACATTTGTAACTCTCTGTGTCCTGATTTGTAGACTTCCTTTCTTTTGTTTTCTCGATTCCCCATCCTTGGTATCTTGTTGGCCAGCTCTTACCTTCTATTTTCTTTTCTGATTCTTCAATTTCATGTTTTTTTCTTCTATTTGAGGCACTTCACTGCTCTTCAGTTGGATCTTCTATAGATATTTGTTCCTTCTCTTTGCCAACTTAGCCTTTTACACTTCTGCTCTGTCCCTCCTTCCTTTGTGTCCTTACTGTTGGGACATATAGGTTGGGTTACTTTACTGTACTCCTTGTGTATGGCATATTTGTACTAGGTTTTGTGCTTCTCATTCTCTTCTTGAGTGAGAGATTCTTTCACTTGTGGGGACTCTGGCTTCCCTGGAGCCACTCATTCCTCTTGGGCTTGCACACTTGTGCCTCCTACAGTGGACGTTATGAATCCAAGGGTTTCTTTCTTAGGTTCTATTGTCCTTGTGTGTGAATCTAAGTATTAGCATGGTGACTAGACTGTGTCTGTACTACTTTTGGCATTCCCTTACTGACTCTCCAACTGGATCTCTCGCTTCACTGATGCATCCCTCTCTGATTGAGGTACATTTCTGGGCAAGGGCAGGACTTATGGCCTTTGGGCACAAAACAACCTTTCACTCCATATGAATGTGCTCGTCTTTCTTGCTGTTTGTTGGGCATGTACCTATTCTTGACCTTACTGATAGATCACTTGATCATGTTCCATTCAGTCAATTCCATGGTCATTTCTTGCTTCTACTGTCTGAAAGGCACCTGTTCCAGGGCCCCTTGTTTGGAGCATTGGACATACACTTTTGGGCCCATTCACATCAGTTTGACTTATTGCCTGTCCTTTGCTGGGAGCTTAGAACTTGGTGGTGAGCTGCCTCTCTTGGCCAGTCTGTATTCTACCAAAATATCAGTGTCTACACTCCCAGGTCTTTCATCAGGTTGGCTTGTGGTTGGGTACACCCTTCTGTACTTTGGGCTTCCTCTCTTCTGGTCTATTTTTTCTCAACCTTTCCCTCTGGCTGTTGATATTTTCAGTCAAATCTGGTCTCATCTCTTTCTATATGCCTATTCCCCTATTCATCTCCTCACTCAGGTCCATGTTTTGACATTCTTCACTCCTTTTTAGGTCCTGTGGTTGGTACCTCTTTGACCAGCTCAACCTTAGTTTCCTTTGCTTTTTCACTTATCATTCACCCTCCATCTTCTTCTACCCAAACTACTAAAATAAAATGTGTCTGTACACACTAACTTACCCTTTCTTATCATTCAAAAGATGTTTCTGTAACATGCCTAGACTAAAGAACAGTTGAATTATGGTAACAGCTGATGGAAACAGCTACAAAATTCAGGATAGCGGCTATTGACCTTTTTTCATTGTGGGATATCTTCTAGCATGAGTAATTTTGCATCACACTACCATTCGCGCTCTTTACGAAACTTCTTCGTTCAAATCTATTCCCCTGTCAATGTTCCCATCTTCATTAAAAGGCATCAGATGACAAAACAAGATCTTG